TCTTGTGGAAAGCATAGTCCTATTGTCTGGAATAATATGGAAAGAGTCATAGAAACTAAATTACGAAAGGTAAGTCAAAATTTATCTTTAGTGCTTGTAAATGATGTCAGATTGACAGCACCTGAAGACTGAAGCTCTCTGTTTATCCAAAGGAAAAATCAGCAAAATTAGCAACTTTATAAATTTACAGGCAGCCAACATGCCTTAAAAACTGGCTGGTAAGAAAGTTTACCTCTAGAAATAAGGAAGGTATCCTTACCAATGTAACCTGGATGTCCCTGTCCAGGCACTGAGTGCTTTCTAACTCGGCAAACACTTTGGTGTAGGCATTAACAGTGAGGTGGATGGAGGCAAGTATCACACTGACTACGTGCCACTGATGAGTCTTTGTACAGTGATGATTTTCAGTTCATGCCAGTCTAGAACAAAGAACCTAAATGCACACAGACAGAAAATTGATTCCAGTCTTCCATATGATTTCTTCTCATATATGGATACAACTAAAAATCCTCTGTGTGTGCATGCATGCAATCTATATTGAGTTAAAATGTTGTTTATTCATGCACAGTCATTTGAATATATCAATGAATGTGCTTATATTCTGAAGAATGAAAAGCCTGTGAAAGGCAGAAGTTACCTATTTCAGACAAAAGTGCCTTTGCTTATTGTTCTTTCTCACCTTTCTGCCTTCAAAATGATGCCGAGTTTCTCCCAAAATACCAAGGAAAATTCAAAAGTTTCTAAAACATTTTAAAACTGAGCTGTTGAGAAGAATTTTAAAATTTTACACTGGGCATGTTTAGAAAGCAGATTTTCTACTAAATAATTTTCAGCAGAATTGATATTGGATCTAAAGGACAGTGAATATCCATGAGTTTAGTCAACTTTGTTGTCTATTGACTGTATTTATGCTGTTAGTGACATTCCATACAGTTCTTGTAGTTGCAACATAGGAAGATTTCCCATCCTGTGTAAGTTCATGTGTATACTTTGTTCATTTTCCTGAGCTAAGTTCAGTTCAAAGGTGCAACTGAATAGTCCTTGCTCAGGGCAATTTTTAGAATAACTTCAAAATCATTATTTTCTCCTTTGATGAACCCAATGGAGTGGTCACAAGGATAACAGCTGGCCCAGAAACTCCTGTAGCCTTTTTAAGATTCCAATATATATGTACACATCTATGTGCATTTTTTGATCCTGTTTGACTGTTGGACAGATCAGTCTCAACCAGTTGCATTTCTGTTTCTTCTGGGTTTGCTTTTTCATGGACATAAAATTTTGATTTCCACCACCATTAAGTGTCCACCTCATCCCTCTCATCTACAGTATTGAGATCTTGTAATCAGCATTAATAAAACCAGATCTGTCTCTGTTTCCACTAATTATAATGTAGCAGTGGTAAATGACAGAATTTCATTGACCTATCCTATTTTTCTTTTTAATTTCTTTTGTATTTTATGGAGTTCTCATTTTAAATTTAAAAGTGAGTATTAAGGTTTAGTAGCACTGATTTTTCAGATTGCTTTTAAGTAACATCCATTTTTCATCTGGTTTATGGCAGCAGCCTGGTGGGGACATAAACAGCTGTGTAGTGTTTCCTTTTACTAAACCACTCTATTCCTTCTGCTCCATGACAAACAGTTCATCAAAGTGGATTTTTATTGTGTCCTGGGTTTGGACCAGGCCAACAAAGAGTGAGTTCTTCTACCTGTGATGGAAGAAACACATTCTAACTTCAGGGGACCAGAAAGAAGATGTGTGATGATCAGAGAGGGACTGGTTTTTGACCATTTGTCTGTTTGGAAGAGCCCGTGAGCACTAAGTGAAGGTGCAGCTTCACATTCTGATGTGAGGTCACCAGATGAAGCAAAATAGGAGCTTTGAAGTATCAAATAGATTTGGATAGTGGGAAGCAAAGACAGAAATCAAACCACCTCCTCTCCTCACCTTCCCAGGTTCAGCTTCACTCCGTGAGTCCTGACTCACTCCCCAGCCCCAGGTGGTTCAGGGAGGATGGGAAATGGCAGTTCCCAATCTCCTCACTTGCTGGGCATGTGTTTTTCCCTTTCTTACACACACTTTTCCCTGCTTTCTCACACCACTGTCCTGATGCTGGGCTGAGCTGTGCCCTGCAGTGTTCCCATTGGAACTGTCAGTGTCTGGCATGGGGCAGCTCCAGCCCCTCCTCACAGAGACCACCCCTGCAGCACCTTGACACCTAAATTCCTACACTCCATCATGCTATTGGATTGTTTTTATAGCATGTATTGCTGCTAAATATGCTATTTACACCAGCATAAAATGTAATTGTTTGCAAGAACACGAGATACTCGTTGGGTTACCCTTCACTGAAATGCCCAGCAGACTTAAGTGCATTGACAGAAAAACCCCAAAGCCAAAACCCAAACCCTTAAGTGTTGTTCTCACAGCACACAGACATTTTTGTACCATGCTCACCTCTGCAATTTCTTATTGAAACCACAGAAAGTTCCTGAGCTGAGAGGGCTGGCACATAATTGTTGAAAATACACATTAAATCAACTTTGATATCATTTGATATGTAAGGTTCATGGTTTCATTAGCTACTTTATCCACACAAATGTACCTTAATGCCTCTTTTAAATAGCTTGTTACCCCACGTGATATTTTGTCTTCTGCTGATTTCTCCTGTTTGTCTTCAGAATAATCCGTCTTCTCCACACTTGTCAGATTTTATAACAGCAATTGCAAGGCATGGTGGGAAGGCAGAATTTTCAGAGAATATACGATTTTCCTATTCATATTTATGAAAAATATTCAAGTGCGCTTTAGTACCACAAAAGATTTTTTTTTTCAACATGTAAGAAAGGTTACACCTGCTCCAAAATTGCAAATGGGTTCCTTTGCACCCAAGTCTCAGGAAGTTCCCCCTGAGACAAACAAGACTTGGGTGAGGCAAGGCTGCTTTGTGGTCTCTCGTGGTCTCCTGAGTTAAAGGTTTCCAGTCTATGTAGGTACACCACGAATACCACGTGAGCAGTCTAAGGGATAGAAAAATGTTCTTTGAACAGGCAGGTGTTGCTTATGCACAGGCATAGCCTGATACAGAGCTGGAAATGTTGATGCTTTTCCTGTCATCAATGATGGCATCCAAAGGGGGAAAAAAATTTATGAACTTTATACTAATTTTTAGGCACATAAAAAAGGCCAAAAAAAAATCACCGAAAGTTATGCATACTGAGTGTGTGTGTGTATATGATTTCCATTTTCCTGTCTTCCCTGCCACCAGGAATCTAAAAGAGGGAGAGACATCTAAGGAGATAATTCTGTACTTTCATATATGTGATTTTGAAGATTTGCCTTCGAGATTTCTCAGGCTGACATTATGCCATACACCTACAAAGTGTGTACAGCCCACAAGAGGAATGACTCATCTTTCTCTATGTGCATCTTTTTCTCTGTCCAGACTAAACATTCTTCCTCCTCCCCCTGTGATATGAGACATGAGCTGGACTTGCAGCATCTTGGTGGTTTATTCTGTTTTAGCTCAGGAAGGAACTGCCCCATTGCTGTCAGGTCAGCCTGGACTACAGGGACTTGTTAAGATGCCACCCTAGCCTGGTGATGAGGTGACATCCCTTTGTCACAGACAGATCCCTAACATTTGTTTGGCAGAGGAATTCCCTGCTAAACTGGGATTGAAAAGGTTTAACATAAAGCCGCATGAAGAAGTTTGACAGTGGTGGTGTTTTTTCTTAAGAGTATGGTTGAAAAGTTGTTGTCTTTCTGACAATATTTTAATCCTTTAGATGCAAAAAAGGACTAATTAAAAGAACATGGTCAGATCATATTCCTGGATTAGGTGGGTTAACCAAGGGATGGTCTTTACTGAGGAAGCCACATCCAAATAGTCCCCCAGGTGTTTGCTCCCAGTGCTGTGACTTAGCTGACCCCCCTGCAGAGGGTGAGCAGGACAGCCTGATCAGCAAGAGTCTCTTTACAAAGACAAGGCTGAGTTAAATACTGCAAACACCTCTGGGCTGCATTTTAGGCTCTCCTAACCAGCAGGTGCTGCAGGCCTGGAATGGAGCCCCTGAAATCCACTGTAGTAAGCAACAATCATTTATGAAGGAGGTACTGGTGGTGAAAGTTTGCTACACTGATGTTCTCTTTCTTCTGTTGGTATTTGCTGGAAGCAGGGTAGTCCAAAGACTGCAGTGTTTGTGTCAGTGATAACCTGAGCATTCCAAGCTTTATTTTTCCAATGGAAACAAAATTGTTTACAATGGGAAACATTTATAAGGAGAGGAGACATTTATAAATGTTCACTGTTTTTATTTGGCCTAATGTGTTACATAGAAATTGAATGAAGTTATTCTAATCACTTCTGTTTGCTCAGAAGATCAGTTGGTACTAAATACATTTTGTTTTCATAGGAAAACATTAATTACACTGAATGGAAGCACTCTGTGAAATTAGCATTATCTTTTCATCTGCAGTGAGATACTGCCCTTTTCAAATAAATGAATAAGACATTTGCTGGCATTTTGCATTTTTGCTGGCAGTTTCAGTAGACCAGCCAAGGTATGGGCAGAGCGTCAGACCAAATTCTGTTCATGCCAATTAGATGCAGCTTTTTCAAGTTATCAGTGTGGACTAGAACTCTACAGCATCTTTGTATTTGCTCTCTAAATAATTTCTGTTTCAAATATTTTCCAAATGGATGGGTTTATTTTTATATGACAATTTTCACTGAAGAGTCCCAGTCTTGTTTCAGATTCTGCCAGCTTGGGTAGACTGTTCCTCACTTTGTAAAAGTAAAAATTAAGGAAAAGGGAAAATGCTGATTTATCTCACTACATATGTATAAATATAAACCTAAGGTAAAAATAATTGTGTTAAAAGCTTTAAACCATGAACAAAATACATTAAAAGTGTTGGTTTTTTTTAAAAATTATATTCTTCATTTCCATGTTTGACACACATCACTTTGACTCAATTTTCTTTTTATTTCCATTTAGGACGTGTAGGAACACCTCACTTCATGGCTCCAGAAGTGGTAAAAAGAGAACCATATGGGAAGCCTGTAGATGTTTGGGGTTGTGGTGTGATCCTGTTTATCCTGCTAAGCGGTTGTTTGCCTTTTTATGGAACCAAGGAAAGATTATTTGAAGGCATTATTAAAGGCAAATACAAGGTAAATGACAATATACATGTATCCTTTTCCAGTGAGATGAGATCTGTTGGTAACATTTCTGAAAGTTGATGGTTGTATTTAGCCTGATTTAAATTTAAACCTTATGGAAATCTGTCACACAGGAAGAGAGATTATTTTCCTTCCCTGGTCTGTGTTGTACCTGATGTGTTTTGTATCATTGCTAGGAATTAGAATATGGAAATATTTGCTCAGATGAAATAATAAATGGGTGTTACAACCAGCCCTTAACTGTATATTGAGCCCAGCAGGAAGACAAGAGGTTTAGCTGTGAATTAGAACACACTTTAACCTCTGATTTATAAACCATTCAAATTTTTTGATCAGCTAACAGAGCTGTCATAAACATGCATTATCATATTGCCTTGATTTAAAACAAAATGCATGTTATTTTACAAATGCAGGCAGGCATTTTTCTTCTTAGTGCAGTAAAGGGCAGCTGATGATTCAACAGGAGCCACTTGCAGCCAGGGGCAGGTCAGTGTGCACACAAGAGAAGCTGTCACAGCCTCAGCACACAGACCATTGTGGAGACAAATTTAAAGCTGCAACTTCACTGTTTCTGTGGATTTGCCTAAGATCAGCTTTGCTGTGCTTTGCAGCCAAGGTCATACATGAGCTGTGCATTAGCAAATTACAAATGGAAGCTCCCAAAGCTGTTAGTCTGATTTATTATATCACTTTCTTTAAACAGCCTGCTGAAATGTAAGTGACAGCAGTGTTACTGTACTTGGTCAGGAGCACATATTTCATTTTTTCAATTTTATAATCCTAGAAACAGCAGCATTTCTTCATGGCACTAGTTTTGGGATTGCACAAACTTGACAGATTTTTTTTTTATGGAATCTCTTAAGCAGCTAAAACCTTCTGGAAGGATACAAGTTAACTTCTCTTTTTTTTTTAAAAAAAAAAAAGTTACAACCAGTACATTGTGTCCTCTTAGTTCCTTTTCTGTTCCTGTTTCCACAGTAATTTGTCTATTCAGTGAAAATCCTGTCGAAATTGCAATTACCTTCATTTCATTAGAGCTGAAAAATAATTAAATCACAGCTATAAATGTGCATTTCATAGCCAGATAACATTGCTGAGTGCCCCAATTCAAAGTGACTATTTTTTGTAAAGCCTGATTTTAAATCAAGTAGACCTCTTTAAATTACCAGATTGTAACATTGAAAAGAGTCTGGCTATAATTTTGAATTTGCTTTAAGTATTTTGTAAAGTTAGTTGTCTATCATCTAAATAAAACTTAGCTTCTTCATAATTTAAAGAAATACTAGAAATACCTTAAGGATATCATCCTTTCTGTCACATAAAGAATTTTCTTACTTTGGTATGATTTTATCAAGTGTCCATCATTTTGACTGGTTGGGCACAAACCTGCATATATGCACAAAATGAAAATATATTCTAAATCATCATTCATATTGTATCTCCTAAAGATAAAATTCTGCTGTGAAAGTGTTGCAGTTGCTGGTATTGTGTCGTCCTTCTATGGTTTCCTGTAGAATGGAAGGAAAAGGACATTTTCCTTTTCTTACTTAGCTTCTTCATAATTTAAAGAAATACTAGAAATACCTTAAGGATATCATCCTTTCTGTCACATAAAGAATTTTCTTACTTTGGTATGATTTTATCAAGTGTCCATCATTTTGACTGGTTGGGCACAAACCTGCATATATGCACAAAATGAAAATATATTCTAAATCATCATTCATATTGTATCTCCTAAAGATAAAATTCTGCTGTGAAAGTGTTGCAGTTGCTGGTATTGTCTTGTCCTTTTATGCTTTTCAAGTGGAAAAACTTCACCTCTTGTGAAGTTGAAAGGAATTTCTTGGGAAGAGCCATTGTCCATAGCACCTTCAGGACAGGACCAGAGTAGTTCACAGCAGGCATTCTCTTACTCCCTTCTTACCCAGAATCACTAGCATGAAATTGTGGGTTGAAACAGATACATTCTCATGCCATAAATTGATTTCAGGAGTGATTTAATTTCTGCATTTATCTTATGCATCATTAACAGTTAAACAGAGCTTAATTATTTTTTGCTTTATCTAGTGAATGGACACTTACCTGAGCAGAATGTAGAGTAGGTAGAAATTATGCTATGATTATAACATAATACTAATACATGTCAGGGTTTATGTTTTCCATTTTTGTGCCATTTCAGTAACAACTAGTGTTCCATTTTTACAAGTTATTAAAACCCTTATAAATTTCCTTTTACGTTCATCACACGGAAATGTTTGCAAGCACCAACCACTGTTAAGTCTCTGCAATTATTGTAGGTAAACACTAGGTTCTTTTCTACATTCTTATTACTAATTTTATTTTTTTTCCTTGCTCCTAATTAGATGAATCCTAGGCAATGGAGCCATATTTCTGAAAGTGCCAAAGATCTGGTGCGCCGCATGCTTATGCTGGATCCAGCAGAGAGGATAACAGTGTATGAAGCACTGAATCACCCCTGGTTAAAGGTAGTAAAAGCAGCTATTTACATGCTACTTTCCTGCTTAAGGGAGCAAAAACATGTATTTCTTTGTTTTTCTGAGCTTTTCAGAGTAGACACGAACTGTTCAAAATGTGGGATAATGTGCTTTAAATGCTTTCTAGGATTAGAGCCTGAGATTTTGATAATTGCCAGGCTTAAACTCTTGCTTAAGAGCAAACTCAGTTGGACATCTTCAGCAGCACCAGAGTGCAGGGAGTAGGGCTGCATATCATAAAGCTTAAAGAAGGTGTTAATGTGACTTTCTGTGGCTCTCAAACTCCAGAGAAGTAATTTCTGCTCTCCTTTTTGCTCAGTCATATCTAAACCTCTTTTCTGTTAGTCATGCACTCTACTGCTGCAGGTTCTGCTGCTGAACTGTGCAGCTTCCTTACATGAGATTCTTGAAAACATCCCACCAAAAGGGAAGGAAGTAGTGGAGCGCTGCTCCAAGGCCACTGTGGCTGCATAAAATTGTATGACATCTGGTAATCAAAGTATTTTTCAGTGATGGCAGAATTTACAACACACTTTAAGCCAGAGAAGAGTAATTGCTGCACACTGAAGGTTTGCAACAGGAGCAGGAGAATATACACCTGTAGCTTCTCAGCAGTCCATCAGTGTTTAGTCTGTGCTAAACATTGGGGTTGGAGAATGATGGATTGTGCTGCAGAATTAAAAGGTGAAAAGTGCTGGTTCAGAGCACTGTATTTTCTTTGGCTGAAGCTGATGAATTAACTATTTTCTTAATTATCCTTTACTTTTCTATGGTGGGTGTCCGGGGTAGAAAGGGTCATAATATCATTAACTTAAACAGGGCACTTATTTTGAAAAGGGACTGATCTGGTGTCTGCTGCTGGCCTCCCTTTATGCTGTACATGAGTCAAAGAGAAACCCACAAAGAAAGAACCTGGGAAGAACAGGATCCTGTGCTCTTCTGCCTCCAATTAAATGGTGTAACCACCTGTGAATGGAGTCACTCTTCCATTTCTCTGCTCTCCTTCTGCCTCTGACTCTTGTATTCCAAGCTGCAGAATGGTCTAGCTCATCAGAGGAGGTTGGGAGTGTTCACCTCTCAGAAATGACAGTACTTAAGGCAGCTCTTCTGTGTGCTGGGAAACTGCAGGTTCAAACCATTCTACTCAAAAAGAGGCAGAGTTCTGTCTGCTGGTCTGGGGTGTAGATAGTGTATCAAATATTAAAGAGTATGGAAATGAACACCATGTTTTGGAATCCCAGAATATTATACAAACACAGATGATCTGGGTTGACCTGCTTGTAATTGGAGTTTTTCTTCACTTTGAGAGCATACCCACATTGAGATGCCAAAGCTAGAATTTGGTTCATTTTGGCAGAAAACCTGTAATTTTTGTTGTTTGAGCAACTAAGCTAATTTGGTTTGTTAAAAGCAAACTCTGTAGTGTGCATGTGTAAGCTCTACCTGTGCAGGTTTGCACTTTTGGTGTCTGTGGTCTGGTTTTGACCATGTTGTTAATTTGTTGGAAGACACGTGGTTTAGTTTGTGACAACTTTGTTTGCCAGACATTCTATCAGTCCTCTCATTTTTGCCTACAGTAAACTGCCTTTTATGCTGATTCAGAGCTTTCTAAACCATTTATAGATAGGAGCAAATACATCATGAGGCAGAGACATCTTTAATGCCATAGAGGGACTGCTGTGGTTTCACTTTGATTCAGGAAAAGAATATGATAAACACATTAAATTAATGTTTTTATATAGCTTCAGGGGGGAAAAGGTAGATGGCTGCTGCAAGTTTTGTCCTTTCTGTCACTGTAGTTGTTCATTGGCACATTTTTCATCTGCACCTACAATGGAGAATTCTTTCTGTACCTTTACCTGGCTGGCATTGGGTTGGCATTTCCTGCCCTGTTGGACATGTGTCCCACCTGCCAAACTCACCTGAAGGATCCAGCACCCTGTCAAAGAGTGCTTGAACGTGTTCCTTCACTGAGATTTGTGAATTCCTAACAGCAGAACTGCTTTCTGCTTCCAAGTTCAGTGCTGGACCCAGACTGACAGCACAACAGTAAAACAAAAGACTGGGGTCTTACTACAAGGTGGGAAACAATTACAAAAAGAAAATATAAATATCCAGTTAAGAATTCTGTCAAAGTACTTCAATCCCTCTTAATTTCTGGAAGTTTTCCTTAAGTTGCAACAAATCCTCATTCTCCTTAGGATATTTATGAGCTGGTACTTGTCTAGTTTCTTAGTGTCAAGAGGATATTAAAAGCTTGTATTTAATGTTCTTTTGATTTGTTTTTTGTGGGGTTTTTCAAGGAGAGAGATCGCTATGCATACAAGATTCATCTTCCAGAAACAGTAGAACAGTTGAGAAAATTCAATGCAAGACGAAAACTAAAGGTAAATTGAATGTAGTGTTAAAACAATATAATATACAGCTCGAATTTTGTGTGATACTTGATTAATTTTAAAAGTGCTAAGAGAAATCCATGCTTTGAAGTCAGCAATAAAATAAAAGGTTGCAGCAGCCCTTCACAGATGTTTATTGAAATGATGTCTTAGAAAGGCTGTTTGTCCTTTCTTCCTTAGTGCATCATTTTCAAATTTCAGTGCAAATTGTCTGGTATCAACCAAGGTGTATATGAGGCCTTCATCTTCAATAAATTCAGTAATTCTATGTCATATTAATTACTGGTGAGAATCGTGCAATCACTTCTGTTATTATTGTGTTACATTTAGAATAAAAGGAACATAGTAATTTTTAATGTCTTTGTAGAAGAAGAGCAAATATGTATTCTTCAGTTTATCCTATTTATGTTGAACTACATGCTAGTTTATTTCTGAACCATGTTGAAAAGAATGTTAACATTTCAGCCCAAAACAACATGTTTTTCCTTCTGTTCCTGTCATGGAATGTTTAACAGAAGCATTTCTGAATTCACTGAAAGGTTCAGAAGATTGTGACAGAAACATGGAGCATTACAGTTCATGGGCTGTTTTACAATTTGTAATAAAACTCAGAATCAGGTGTTCCCACTTTACAAAAGTTTCCTGTGGCTGATGATGAGGATGCCCAGCTGCCACAGTTCATGAACAGCTCTTTCTCTTAGGTGGTTTGCATGCCCAGGTAATCCTTCCATTAAAATGCTCTCTGGTACATTTTAGAATATGACCTGATTCCTATTCTAGGTGCAATTTCAGATATTTCCTGGATTTCTTCCTGGGAGGCCACTATGTTTAGTTTCCTGAGCTTTTATACCTTCATTATTTTTTTATGCTGTTTTATCCAAAGCACTGTTCTGCAGTATGTTTCATGAAAATCATCCATACTTTCATAACTGTGAGGCATTAAAACCTGAGTGGTTAAAGTGTAAGTTACTTGAACAAGTAAATATATGTCAGAGGAGGGAACCATTTTTCTGGGTTTATAAATTCTCCTGCAATGCCCATTCTGGGACTCTGTGATTCTGTATATAACTGTGTTATTTTTATATTGATGCATAATGGGTGTCAAAGTATTCTAGTGCTGTCAGTGTCAAATTTTGACAATTTCTAAAATAGAATCATAGTGTTTTGCTTTAAAGAGTGAATTTTTATTCCTGCTAATCCACTCAGTCTAGGTAAGTTGATGCATAATGGGTGTCAAAGTATTCTAGTGCTGTCAGTGTCAAATTTTGACAATTTCTAAAATAAAATCATAGTGTTTTGCTTTAAAGATTTCCTGCTAATCCACTCAGTCTAGGTAAGAGGAAAAGATAAAGAGATTTGTTATTTTGTTTACATTGTACTACAATGTGAATTTATGCCTCAGTTATTATTTCAAAATGCATTCACATAAAGAACTGTCCTGACAATCCCGTTGCAAAGAATATTTTTGCTGTTTATTAGTGTATGACCAGCTCTTCTGTTAGATATGGTCACTGATAAAAGGGAGGCAGAGCTGAAGACTACAAAATATATTTGCTCTTCATTGAAAAGGTCAATACACACAAGACCTCAGGAGACTGAGTGATCCAAGGGGTCTGGAAAAGTTTTGTTACCCTGCTTTGTGTAATTGAGACTGTGTGGGTATTTTATTTTTATTCAGGGGGCAGTACTAGCAGCTGTGTCAAGCCACAAATTCAACTCCTTCTATGGTGACCCCCCTGAAGAGCTGCCAGACTTCTCTGAAGACCCCACCTCATCAGGTATTTTAACAGAAAGTGCATTTACTGCAGTCAGCATGTCTTAAGTCCATACTGACCAGAGTACCAAGTATTTATTCATTTCTTGAGATTCCATAAAATTAAATATTAAGCTAACATTTACATGTGAAAGAATAAGTAATTCTCAGTCATAATGGTATTCACAGCTGGCAGAAATGGAGAGAAAATCTCGGCACAATTTTAAGCTTCTACAGAAATTCTGTGTGATTTTTTTTTGTTAGTATATGTACATTTAATTACAAATAATGTTAGAATCTTACATTTCTATTTATATTACTTGAGTATAAAAGCTTATTGAAATTTTGTCTTGAATTCTTAGGCAAGAGCAAAGCTCTAATACCTTATTAATAGTTATTTATAAAAAGAAGCCATTATGTACCAAAGTTTCCTGACTCCTGTTTTACAGAAAAATATCATTGTGTCCTGTTTAAAACACACTGGACAGTATTTCTGACCTTCAGATCTTCAGAGAGAGACAATACATGTACTCAAAGGGGAAGATAATACTTGTGCTGTGATCTAGGCCTTGGACAGGCCAGTGACCTTACCAAGCAATCCTTTTGTCCATAGCCCATATCGAGAAATTTAAATCACCTCTCAGTCCCTAAACTAACACAGCCCTGTCTTAGTTATGTATCTTAGTTTTGACATAACATTGCTCAGAATATTTGCAAAAGTCTGGGTTGGTTTGTCTGATCTAAAATTAGGATTTAGGATCAATTTAAGTGAACATTTAAGAAAAACCCAAGACCAAAAGGACTGTCTTTAATTTTTCTAAACAATTTAGAAGTAGTGGCAGAATATTTTAGCCCTATACTGACTTCTCTAGAAGACATTTCAGGAACTTACTTATGTGTGTTGATCTGCTGTGTGATAATTCTCTGTCCCAATATTTTTGTAGGTGAGAAAATTATGTGTTGAGTGCATATATTAATTGTTTCTTTCCTTCTATTTCATATAAGCAAGTAATTTTTATCAATTATTTCAATGTCATTAATATAAGAATTACATGCCCCATAAGAATGGGGGCAACTTTACTTGGATGAAATTGTCCAATTTCACTTCTTGGAATCCAACTTTGTGTACTGAAATTAAAAGATTGCTTTGTCCTTAGCATGAACACCATTCATAATTCCCATAGAAATGAATGAGAATCTCAGATCATTTATTGCAAATGGGTAATCAGAGCCTCATGGCTTAAGTTCAGCCACACAGCTTTTGGATACTTGTACTTCCAGTTAAGGATCCACCTATTCTTTTAAAGAAAGAATGAGTCAGTTTTACTTCACCTAGAACTATTTGCAGTGCCTTAATTTTTGTTTCCACCTACTTCCCCCATTTCAGTGGTGAATGGCCACCAACATGACTGGCAGTGGCAACTTTCCTAATCTGGAAACAGCAGTTCTGCTTTCCAGTTTCAGTCTCACATCAACAGGACATGTGTCTTCCTCAGAGTGATGTAATTGCAGATAGCACTATACAGGAAAGTTCCAAGTTCTATTTTTTCTGCTCACAGAATATTTGAATCCAGTGCACATGTAAAATGTAGAGAATATCTGTGTTGGATCCATTGTTAATTTGTGTTCATCTCTGAAATAACTGAAACAAAAGCTTGGAATTCTCAGGAAAGCAAAGTTATTCTCTAACCTGACATTGTTGATCAAACTGATGGGGGATCACAGTGATCAGGAAACCATTCTGGGTAATTTTCATTATGATTCTTTGACCCTCTACTTGAATTGACAAAACATTTAATATTGAACTCTAAGCCTTGCAAGAAACCTGACATTGTTGATCAAACTGATGGGGGATCACAGTGATCAGGAAACCATCCTAAGTGGGTAGTTTTCATTATGATTCTCTGACCCATTACTTTAGTTGACAAAACATTTAATATTGAACACTAAGCCTTGCAAGAAGAGACTGTACAACTCTTTCAGCTTTCTATTTCACAGATTATAACATTTCAGCTGAAATTCCTAGATACAGAAATCTATTTTGTTTCCTCTTCAGAAGCACACTAATAGTATTTTTAAATACTTGTAGCTTGTAGGCCTTGTGGTGATTCTAAACCAAACTAGTTTGGAGAAATTAAAACTCAGGAATTGCAGTAGAAACTTGATTATCTTAAGGTTATTTGAGTTTCCTTCCTAATAACTCATAATGTTATTCCAGATCATAAACTCTTAATGAAGACCATTTAATATTTTAGATGTGGTTGCCAATTATTCCTCCCATAAAATTTCATGAGGCCTGTCACTGTAATTAAATGATTTGTCAGAAACAGAAAAATACATAACTCCTACAGAGATAAATATACAGAAATATAGGCACCTATTAGGTTATGCAAATCACATTTCCTGTCTTCCAGGGCTTTCCAAACACAGAAACAGAACATTTCAGTGCTCTCTTTTTACCAAATTTATCTAGAGTTGTTCTTCCTCAAAGTCCAGTATGGAAACCTGGGGTTCCTGGAACCTTGGAGCATTTTCCTGTGCTACCAGAGGGTTATCCCAGGATAGGAAGGCACTGCAGGCAGCAAATCAAATTACTTTTGTAGATGCAGAAGCACAAAGGGTATTCTTGTTAGAGAGTTTTCCAGTGAAAGTCAGAAAATTGCATAGCTAAATTAGATGGGAATGAACAGAGAGAAATTTCATTTAAGATCAACAAGGTTTTTTTCTGTATACATCTTATTTTCCTTTGTCCAGTGTTAACAACTCTTGGTTCCAAGCACTTGCTGACCACTGGGTGCTCTGTTTCCTCTTTTGTCAGCAACCATCCTGAAAAGCTTGAATTAACCCTGCTACCATCCTGTTGATAAAATGGCAGAAACCAGTCTTGCTGAATTTTGAGTGCAATAAAACCTTTTCAAATACTTCTAAACTACAGTGCTGCTTTATTGCTGACAATCTGTGTTCAGTAACTTCTCCAGTAAATCCACCACGCAGTTCAGCTGACTAGCTTTCTGCAAATGGTCTTCTCTAGAATGTGAAACATCTGACTTTCAGGTTGCCTGTCTTCAAGACATTCCAAAATGTGTATTCCCCAAGGCAACAAATGTTTTGGTTATTTTTAATATGCTGAAACAAACATAAATCAGAAGTTAGCAATCAGCAGCCCTGAAGGCTAAATCTGTCACAGGAGAAAAATGGTGCAGTAGGAAGTATCTGAAGTGCACCATGAAATCCATAAGGTGCCAGGGAAATTCAGTGTTTACTCTCTGCTGCCCTTCCCCATCTGCCTCCTTCCCTTTCCCTGCCCAGTGCCTGGCCCTCCTACCTCCTGACTGCCCATTAGCTCTAGACAGGATTTCCTCTCCTTCTGTCATATGCTGCCCACTTGTCCCCCAGCAGAATGGACAGACATACAGTTTTCAAGTGTTTTCATAACAGTGCCTCAGGGTGGGAATGAACAGCACCAGTGTAAAGCTTTTAATTTTTCCTCTTTTGCTTCTTGGGGTTTGACTTGAGAAGCTGAGTTGAGGACGACTCGTGTTTCATATGTGGTGTTAAGTAGATTCAAAATGGTTACATTTTCTGGCCAACAGTTAGAAAAAAATTGATAAATTGAAGAGGTTTTTTGTAAACTTTTTGTTTCCAAAAGGTTTTTGCAGACACATTTTCAGAACCCAGTCAGTGCTGGAGTTAAGCTAGTGGATAGTCCATAGGCTTTGGAAAACTCCATAACTGACTTTTAATTCAAGCAACCCACACGTTTTTGTTAAAGGCTGTTATTCTCTGATGTCTGCTGGAATTGCTTGGTCTGTGGCACACATTTCTGAACTGTGACTAAGAGGTTTCAGAGCAACTTCTTGCCACAGACAGTTCTGGATTCCTGTAAGGGATCCTCGAGCTGTGTTTTGGGGTAACCTCAGAGCAAGACAAGAGCCTGAGTGGCCAAATGTGCTCCTGCACCTGAGCTGAGCAGTGGCACTGCTGCAGTATTTCCTGCATTTGTTGAGTGCTGGGCTCTGTGGTCATTCTGGAAACAGATAAACAGAAGCAGAGTTTTGCAGTTCACACAAAGCAGCCACATTGAGGCTCCTTCAGTGCTTCTGCCTCGTTTTCTTCACACACAGCATTTTTGCAAATGCTTTTTGGTGTTTTGTCTCAGAGTTGATGTGTGCAAATTGAAATTTTCATCCTTTTCTATTTTGTCAGACTCTGTGTCGAGAGAAGTTTTTAACAGCATGAGATCTTGATTTTCAAATTTGATAATAAAAATGGGAATAAAGCTAAATCTCTTAGTCTTTCTGAGCAAGGTCAAACAGCATAGATACAGACAAGTTCTAAGCTCACTGTTTCCAACATACGTGGACATAGCTGGACTCACAAGTTAGAATGGTTAGTTGTTTTATGGGATTTAGAATTCATGAAATAACTGTCAATACAAGCCCATATCTTAAAACCCATCAGTTTCATCAACAGAAGAAAAAAGCCCACTTTTCTTATGCAAAAATTATCATTGATTTTGTAAATATTTGCAAAGGATATTGTGTAACATTTTAAAATACGAATGCTCAGGGAAAAAAAAACTACATTCACCTTATAATTGTTACTAATTCCTTCACTAGTATTACAAGCACAGCTGTCAATTTTTGAGATCATGAGTTTGTGTGTTTCCAACATTGCATTATTAACTTTGATTTTTCAGCTATTGATTCTTTGCTCTGATATGTTTAAACTTTTTAAAAGGGCATAAAGACACTGTTAATTAAAAGCAATAATGAAGTGGTTGTATTTCTATATGGTTCAGATAACATTTCTCACTGAAACTTTTGATTTCAATATAACATTGCTAAATTTTGCTTACTAAGTATATTAATATGGTGTTTTGCATAATTTGCAAATGTTGAACTATTTTATAATTTCAACTCCTACAATATTTTTACTAAAAAATCCCTTTTTGTCCATGAGTTTTTAAAAATAGTTTAACCAATGTTGGGAAAAGTCTGGTATTAATAGATCTCTAACACTGCATCCATGTGCTGCCTTCCCAATGCCAAATGTTTGTTTTCCTCCCATCCCAGTCTGCCAGTGCCATTTGCTTCACACATAGAAAAACCATATTAAAAACTGGGGGGATCCTTGTCACTTTGTTGAGACTATTTTGTGGCTAAATTAGTCTGCTAGGTTGCAGCTTTATAAATGGCTTGTTCTGAAATCTTCATACTGTTTGTTGTTTGTCCAAATGCTGCCTTCCTTCTAGGACTTCTAGCAGCAGAAAGTAGGTATCCCTTTGTTTTCCTTTAAGGCATATCAGTCAGCTATGGTGTGTGTCTTTGCATGTTTAAAAATCCGCTTTCTTTTGCTTCTCTTTGCTTTTTTCAGTTTTAATACTGCCTGTTCAGATAAAATTATATGGTATTGACTAAATCTGTCTACAGCATAATATGTAATCAACAGTGTCATTAAGCAGAAGAATGATTTCCAAGGAATTTTGAAGATTCTAATTTAGAGGCAGTATTAAAATTACTTGAGTTTTGGGGTTTTTTCCCAATATTTAATATTTACAACACAACTGAAGTAAAATTTAATTTTTGTTGAATTTAAAAAGTATATTTTGGTTTTTCATTTTCATTCTGAAATTGTTTTAATGGACTGATGTTGGTTTTTTCTTCCTACCACCAAACATATCCTGTAATATTAGTCAAATATTATATTCTTGCTCTATGCTTGCATGAACTTTCTTGATCCTTCTGTGTTGATGTGGTACCTGATCTATGCATATGCACTGTGGATATGCATACTCCTGATTTCAATAACTATCCAAAATGTGTCTCCTCCATGAAGGAATGTTGTTGTCAGGTAGGGAAGAGGTTCTGCTGCAAGGCAGCTGCACATTTCGTGAGAAACTGGGAGCACAAGCAATTCTAAAACCTGCAGACTATGCTAGGCAGAAGAGAAGCTGTGAAATTTTAGACCCTTTGATGCAAACCACAACCATTTCAAAAACAACTAATTCAGCAAAACTAATTTTCCAAAAACAAGCTATAGAAAGTGGGGGTTTCCTGCAGCATTTTAAGACTTGTAGATTAACAGCTCTGCTTCTGTCCTAGGTCATTAGGACCTTAGGACTAGTCACAGGTCCTTCAGGACATGTCAGCAGGACGTGTGTCCCTGACTCCATTTCTGATCAATCATGGATGTTGTGGTGGTTGTTGTTTGGTTCATTCTTTTGATTTTACAGGTTGTGGGGGAAGTTGTTCCTTGTCCTCCTATGTCCCCATCTCAGAATGCCTGTCCAGTAACATGAGAGTGAAAGTTCAATGGATTTCTGTATAAAAGTTTTGTGATAGCATTATTTTTAAACAGTTGTAGGGGGGGAAAAAAGGTCTTAGAGAGCCTGTGCCATGATTTTTGGGTTTTTGTTTGTGCATAGAGACTTTTCTTCCACAAACTGACTATAAGAGTGTGCTGTCTTTATGCTTAGACATTTTTGCTAGGAGGAAGAAAGGATCTAAGGAAGGGCTAGTGGAGGGCATTCATCTATTAAAATATTTATTTGTTTAGTTGCATGTGAGTGCACTTACACGTAAGCTACAGGTCTGGTCTGTAAAAAACGCTCCTGCGTGTTTCTTTATTACCACACTAGGCTGGCTTCTGTCATACCTGTGGCTGGATTTTCAGTGAGGGGTACCTGGGACAAAGAGTTAACAAACTGTGTGATGGTGCCAGGTATAGAGACAGGAGAAAGTGGAGCCATGCCTACACTCAGTGCCCCTCTGTGTGCAGGATGAAAAAAGTCTCTTCAAAATTAAGCATTAGTTTCTCGCTGCCCTCTTTGCCTTCTCCCCCACCACTTCCTCTTTCCCCCCATCCTCTGTGGTTTTCCATACATAGTACTCTCCTCTATATTCCTTCTGCTGTTTGGAAACACTTAATCTCTTGTTTTATTTTTTTCTTTATTTTTTTCCTTTGTTTAGTCTTTTTCTCTCTGTTTTTCTCTCCTGCCCCTATTTCCTTTGGTTTCTTTTCTGATTTCTGCATGCCTTTCTCTCCTTTCTTGTACTCCTTAGACGTTCCTACCTTCTTTAATGTAGTTGTAAATTCCAATACCCTTCCATTGCACCAGCAGTCTTCTTTCTGAATTGTTGTTGTCATCTCCATAAACCTCCATCTTTCTAGCTCTCTTACTACACTCTTCCTGATTGTTTTATATACATGCAGTGTATGTATATACATATATTTCTATTATCTCTGCCTTATTTGCTTCCCAGTAGCATTTACAGAGTTGTGTGCATGTAGGTGCTTATTTGTGAATTTATAGGGTGTCTAAACTTCACTGTTTGATTTCAGTCCAAGAAGGAAGAAGTCGTGAAATGCTCTATAGCTCAAATTTGAGCAGGACAGAGCCTTCACTTGCCTTACATTTTAATTACACTGCTCTGTATATGTGAAACATGTACCTCCCACCTTATTTTGAACTATTATAGTCATATACATGTGTACCTGCTCTGGCTGTCATCTGTTCCTGCAGTCAGTTGCTCTGGAATACAGTGAACAGCAAAGAGCAGCAAATTTCTGTGTGAGATCAGGGGCATCTCAATTCCAGTGATGTTTGCAGATGTTGTTGCAAGTGATGAAGAGCAGCTGGTGCTCAGCTGGCTTTCTCTAGATCTGAGAAGTTACATCAGTTAAAGTAGTGGAAAGGTCTGCACTTTATAATAATGCCCATGCTTGGGTTTTTTGTGAGATGATATCCTGTGACTTCATTTTGTGATTCTAATATTTGATCTCTCTAAAATTTAACAATTTCTGATGATTTTTCATCTTTCCTTGTTGGATGTACTACCCTCAGACCTCTTCACAAAGTAAAATGTAAATCCTGCCTTCTGAAATGCCTGTGCTTTAAGAGCCAGGATTGGTCTTTTAATTTTATTTCCAGCAGCTGCCCATGAGAAGGCAGCCACAAGATTTGGCTGAGAGAAATCAGTTCTGTTTATTGTAGATTGGCTGGCATAAGGACTGAACTGTGATATATAGAAAAATTGCAAATGACAGCAAAGTCTTGCTTAGCCATTGAAATATCACTGTAAAATCTTCAAGACACAGTTACTTACTCATTTACACAACATAAAGAATAGTTGAAAAGCCAATCAAATAATAAGAATGAACAGGATACAAATGAGTGGCTGGTGTCACGAGCTTCATTTTATGTGGGTCTACAAATCTAAGAGATTCAGATGTCTCTTTCATAAAAACATGCTATTATTATAATTGTTATTATGAGTTCTTGTGCAGTTATTTGCTGGCATAGTAAATGCAGGAGACTGGCAAAAAGGTCAGGGTTTATAGGTTTGTGTTTAAACAGCATCAGGCTTCCTGAGTTCTGGGTTTTCATTACTCTGAAGCAGGTTTATGACTGACCCAAGACTTAAATGAGTATTTGTAATCTTCACCGTTAAAAAATTAATCAAGGAGTTCTTTTGCCCTCTGTCAGAATGTGTTTGCAGTCAGGATGTAGTCTGTGCTTTGTAGCAATAGCTGAGTCTCTTTACCTAAACACTTTATTTAGTCATACACTGTTGCAGATCACATGTCACATGAAAAGAGGTTCCTAATTCTATTTACTGCCTGTTATATAACAGGGAGAGCAGCTTATACCTGCCTGGTGAGCTGAGCTCAGAAAAGCAAACTTTTGGGGGGGCTTTGTACTGGGGGAACACAAAACTACTGCAGAATATGTAGGCAGTTCTTGGAATAATATTTAAAATTCTGTTCTGGGGAGAAGTAAGCAACTCCTCTCTACCTTTAAAGTTCAGTTTCTTTAGTCAAACCACCTGTTCCAGACTAGAATAGCTGAATGTTGTAGTAACAACACTATTTTACCAAAGCTTTGCCTACTTCCAGCCTGATGAACCAGTGTCCATAGCAAGTTCAGGTGCACTGTATGACAGCTACAGACTCTAGAGACAGAATTCAGCTGTAACAGAAAACTATTTCTGACTGGCCATCTCCAAAAATGGGTGGCAGAACCTGCACAAAATACCTTTGGTAACTTTGACTACGCACTGCATGAAGAGAAATTCCCAAGTTTCTGCCTCACAAGGTAAATACGTGTCTGATAAATAACAGATCTGCCTCAGTAGGCAGAAAACTGCTCAATTCATCTCTGTCTTCTCAGAAGTAATTGGGTGTCATCCTTAAGAAGTCATTCCACTAACTATAAAAGCATTTTATGTACTAGTACTGACTGCAGGAGACTGTCATAAGCATTCTAATGTGGTTTTTCCTCTTTTTTATATGTGACAGCTCATAGTTTTCAACTTTTTACAGTTGGCAGTCCCCAGGAAACTGAATAGCTGTAGCCATCCTTTCTGGGGTATTATGGGAATACAGGGAAGACAAGCTTGTGTGCATGGCCCAGAGTGTCACTGCTCCTTTTGACACTGAGGTCATTTACTGTGCATTTACAGGAGGATCCACAGTCTTCTCACAGAACCATGTTTGGTGTGGATTTTGTTACTCTTTCTGCAGAGAAGAGTCTTCTATTTATATCACTGGAATTGCAGCCTTTCCTGTGCAATTGGATCTGTTTTTGCAGTAACTTAAGGTGCAGGGTGAGATTCATCTCACCCAAAAGTTGGAGCTGCTGGAAAATTCTGGGGCAGTGAGCAGCATTTTCTAACAAAGTTTGCTTTATGGAGTCTTAAAAAACAAATGAACACAGCCAGTCAAGTTAGTCAACTTCCTGATTTTTCCTGCCTTACTAATATTTATGCATCATTCTAATTTTCGTGTTTCTAGATTCTGTCTGTAACTGCTACAAACCATGAGAAGTCTGAGATTTTAGCTTGTATGATTGTAATAATTCACTTAAGTCTTCATTATCTGTGCTGAGGTTAAAATGGGTGCACTTGCAATGTTGAAAAGAGGTTAAATCCTATTTCAAGAGGATATAAGCTTTGATTATAAATATTGAGTACCTTTACACTTCCCCAAAGGTTAGAAATTTAGCTTGAATATGAATCCTTTTAGAAACAGGTGTGCTGTAAAGGTTGGTTAACTTTATTTTATGTAATATCTCTTCTCTGAATTTAAAACTCTTCTGAAAGGAACTTTCAGACATTTTAGCAGATGTCTGTAACAAAGAGAGTTTAGGTGTTCACAAAAATGCCTGTAAAATTGTTCTGTCACTTTTTTTAAGCACTAACATGCTGTCAGCATATTGCTGCTGTGTCATTTTCTCATGCAGGTGCAGATTATTTGTAAAGGAGTGAGGGACATGGCAGTAGGTGAAGCATAAGATTATAGGTAAAAAACCCATAAGGTAAAAACTGTCATTTGGGAGATTAACAAAGTCACTGTCAGAAAGTCTCATCAAATTTATTAAGGACATTCTTGGAAACTTTATTGACAGCCTTCTAATCAATGTGGCCAATTGACAGGAGAAGAAAAAAGACCTGATGATCAAACCCTAATTTTTTTTAATTCCCAAATATTCAAGAGGTTGTTGAGATGCAAATATTGAAAAATCATAACTTTCTTTTCCATTTCAAAGCCCTCAAAGTATTCCACAAAATAAAGCTTGCAAAGGAAATAATACTGTCAAATAAGGAATGTGGTGGTCCAGAGAATTTGGTGTTTCACAACAAGACAACACTGCAGGCAACTTTGAACACACTTCTTACTGGTTCCAGATTTGGGAATTTCTTACTGGTTCAAGTTTTGGGGATTATGGGCAACACTGAGCAGTATTAGAGACTCTTAAGAACCCCAGGCCTCTGAAGTGAATCTTCTTTTGAGTTTTCCTTAAATACCCCAAATACACAGAAGGGGCTTTGAACACAGAAATGAAGCTTTGCTTGAAAATAAAATAATTCAAACTGTGAGTGTGAAAAGAGCAGAAATAAAAGAGAATTTTAACAAATTTTCTTCTACCATCTGGATCCTGGAAAGTCCAGCACTTTCCTTCTTCCCTTGGAGATCTCCACGTGCATCAGCCTTTAACTGATGTACTGAACATGTGAAGGAAACAGTGCAGTCCTTTTGGGGTCCCTGGGTAGGTTTTTTCCTTGCCTTTGAGGCTCAGCTGTGATCTCTCCATCCTCTTACCAGCAGATCCCCAGTCCTTATATTTCCTCAGGTTTCCTGCTGTGTCTCTGGCAGGGGGATGTGGATGGTTCCTTTCAGCTGAGCATTCTTGTTCATTATCAAAGAGGAAGCATTTTTTTCTCTTTTTCAGTGCACCCAACCTCGTACACAGCAGCTGCTAAAAGTCAAACCATTTGTTTTACTTGCTGACAGCCACAGATTTTTAAAAGAACATAAATTAGTACATCAAATAGGTGTAAGTAGTCAGGCACACTTGATGGGAGAGAATTAAGAAGTTTTATTGCTCCTGAGACTTGAGTTGTGAGTGAGGGGGATATTGTGGTTCTCAAACCTTGTACAGAGAACTGTGAGGAGAATCCTAGGCTGAGGTTTGTACTGAATGTGATGCAAGAGTTTCTAGATTTTTAATTTATTTCTCCTTCTAAGCCATGCAAGTCTTGTATAGTAGTTTTTGTGTATTTTTGTTATGTTCATTCCACTTCTTCAAGATTTTCAGAGAAATATGTTAACTTTTCTTTTTGTGGTTAAGAGGCAGTTTGGTATATTGTTTTTATTACATTCTGAAAATGCAGTACAAAAGGCTTTGAGTTAAGGAGAGCTGGTAAGAATTGTTCATGCAATAGAAGATAGAATTTCAAGGAATGCAGCAATTTTTTAGATGTTTTCTATCTTGTTAAAAAGACACAGGCAAACATATAAGTAAACAGAATAAGCATATTGATGAGAAATTAGTGAAATAGAGAATGTCTAGAATTCTGTATCCAGAATTAATAAATTTATTTATGAAAATGCATTCAGTTGTTCACTGCCAGACCACCAGCATTGCTGCAGACTCTCACTGGATATTCTGCCTCTTACCAAATGCTTTTACCACAGTGGAAAAAGTGAAGACATGACCTGTGGATGTTGAGATAAGCCAAAGCTGGCATTCCTAGTAAAGCACACAGGTGGAATCCACCACTGATACTCTGATTTTTAAACAAGTTGTTTCACACAGGACCACTGTGGGGTGGTTTACTGTGGATTTGTGTTGTGTTTCTTTGTCCTCTCCTGCTGAGAGTTCAGCTTTTCCTCATGGGCTTGCACCTTCCACAATGCCTCCCATTTCTCCTTTTTGTCTCCATAGCTCTCACTTCTCTCTCACCCCCATGCCTTATAAAACCCATCCCCATCATCCTGTGACCCAAAACCATGCCCTGGTGAAAAAGCAGGGTAACAGCTGGGTAGGAGATAACCAGGCAAGCAGAACAAACAGAACAAGAACACATTACAGCTTTTTTTGTTCCCCAGAGGATTTGGCAGTCAGGTATTTCTCCCTCTTCCCTCCTTTATGCCGATGCTGATTTAAAAAATATTTGTGAAAGCATTGGTTCTTCCTGATTTTACCAATGCCTAAGATTTTATTTCAAAATAATTCCTACTGATGTTTCAGAATTTTGGAGTATGTATTTGAAATTGTCCAGCAGCTCAAAAAGAGAAGTGAAGGTTGGGGTAGGAATGGTGAGGACAGGCCAATAATCCAAGTTGCTCTGTAAGACATTGTTGAAAGCAAGGCTAAAAGAGAACAAAACTGAGCTTAATAAAATCAGGTTTTAACCTCTCTCCCATTAAGCCATTTCTAATGTATAATTACATTATCTGTGAGCACTTCTGATATATGCAGAATTTATTCTGTGAGTTTTCCTATTAAAACTCCAGCTCCTTTAAGCTCCCATTCCAATTGTACCAGATGAATTGAAAGTTTCTTTTTCCAAAGTTCAGTTTACCATGAGCCTTTGCTTTATTGATTTTTTTTCTCTTTTTTTCCCCTGTCTGTTGCCCCATAGGAGCAGTTTCACAGGTGCTGGACAGCCTGGAAGAAATTCATGCACTTACAGACTGCAGTGAAAAAGACTTAGATTTTCTTCACAGTGTTTTCCAGGATCAGCATCTTCACACGTTATTAGATGTAAGTTTTCTGTGATAAAAATTTGAATGTGTTCCTGCATCTGTTGTTCATTGGATAATATTTTGTATTATGCTGAGCATATTACCTTTTTTTGTTTGATACCAAAATTGATTTCTTTAGTTGAGGAACGTAAGAATCATCCAGCACTTTATGCAAAAAATATATTTTTGGGACTGTAATTTAGAGTATTTTATAATATAAAAGTGATTAAGGGTTTTAGTTAATAAGTTTGCTTTAAAATAATTCATCAGAATAGATTTTTTTTAATAAGGACCAGATTTTAGTTTTTGTTTTAAACGTGAATTACAACTTTATAACTGTACATACTCTATTATTATTAACATTAAATCTACTAATCTTAGGCCAGTTCTGGGGAGAGTCTTATAAGTATGAAATTTTTTGTGTGATGCAACAAGGTATGCTCGTTTCTCTTCCACACTTGGACATGATATGTTGTAGAATCAATCATCTAAAATCTATATTCTCTGTGGTTCTGGAGAGCTGCTAGTCCATAAGGCAGCAGTGTCTTACTGGAGTGCCATGTAGAATCAATCATCTAAAATCTGTATTCTCTGTGGTACTGGAGAGCTGCTAGTCCATAAGGCAGCAGTGTCTTACTGGAGTAAGACTCCAAGTCAAACACTCACTGAATGACAAATTCAAAAGCACACCATGCTGTCAGTGGCTTTGTACCTGCACAGCACTGAGGTCTCAAATAAAAGTCAAAAAAAGTAGCAGAAAAAATACTTTCCATGATGTTTTTTTTCTGGGCTTTGTGGATACTTCATGTTGAAGACAGAGGACTTGCTTTTCAGGCAAGGCCAGCTTTTTCTAAAGCAATCTACACCTTGCAATGAGAAAAAACTCCAGATGGAACCAAATGCACAGAGGCACCTTGGCAGGTGCTGTGACACAGTGGCAGATGTGCAGAGCAAAGCAGCTGGCACTGAGGAGCCAGGGCTGGCAGTTCTGTGTGTTCTGAGAGCTTTTACTTTATGCCAGTTGTACTGCAGTCCTGTGGGCTGAATAACTGGTAGGTGAACAGCATCTTTTATTTGAATGTTGTTGAGAGTGAGTGTGCTCTGGTAACACTGTACAGTGGGAAAAAAAAAAAAGAATGGTAGAGAGAGTAAGTGTGCTCTGGTAACACTGTACAGTGGGGAAAAAAAAGAATGGTAGGTGGGTATAATGAGATTAATTTAAAATATGCACTCCTGGATCAAACCCAAATGCTTGTGTGATCACATGGATGATGATCTTTTTAGTACAATGTCTTAAACTGAACAGCTCAGTGAATATCACAAATCTAACAAGGTGTGTCCAGTGAAAGAGCCACAGGAGTAGGAGTCATTCCAGCTGTCTGATGTGCAGGAGATGATGATGTTTGGAGGGACTTGGGAGAGTTTCTGCAAACCTTTGAAGCTCTGGTTCCTCTGTGCAGCTTTGCAGGAGCATGAGCTGAATCTAAACAGTGCCACGGGTCCTTTGGTGTCCAAACTCTTTAAAATGTAGTGAATGATTTGTACACTCATTACAGTTTGATCAGTCACTTGAATTCTGTGCATTCTTGAAGTTCAAGGGATTCCAGTCTGGAAGTGGCCCCAGCTGCTGGGTTCTGAGCTGGCCTGTGTGGGAACACAAAGCTGCTGGCAGAGCATCCCCACAGCACAGCTGCCCCTGGGGCTGCAGCATCCAGAGAGGGGAGCTGGCTGCTAAGTGAGGATGGCATTGCCCTGGCACAGCACTGCAGTTCTAATCTTTGTTCTCTGATAACTGTTCCTGCATTTTATGTCAACACTCATTGGATAAAATTATATGAAGCACACAGGAGGAAGGGACTAGGAGCTCATGACTTCCCTGAATTGCATCTCCAACAATTCATCTTTGCAATTTGCATTAAAATATGAATCTTTTTTCCCAATTTAAGTTCACCTAGCTTGTGTCCCAGATGATTAAATTACTTTTTATATGGCATGTGGCAGTACAGAAAGGTGCTCAGTTAATGCGAACAAGAAATAAAAAATCTGGAGAGGAGTAGAATAATATGAGTGTAGTAAGAACCAAAATACTTGTGTGACTCATGCAGAAAGGTTGTAGATATTTATTAACCATTATTTTGTTATCATATAACTTCTTGGGCTTTGGTAAACCACATGGCCTTAGTTTCAGTGTTTTTTTGGGATGACAGGTCTGCCAGACATTAACTCATGCTTCTGCAATGCTTTTGCTTTTTTTCTGCTCCTGACAGTACCAGTCAGGTTCCCAGTACTTCATTCATGACCTGTTATTGCTGTGATGGTCTGTTGTAGCTTTTCAAATAAGGAAGAGCAGCAGTGAATTTGTACAATTTTCACATTCTTCATCACAGTCATTCTTACAAACAGAAAAGGGTGCATTTAATTGCATCTTCTAAAGATATCTGTGAGAACAAAATGCCATCAAAATGCATTTTTGTTTTATAATGCTACGTGGAAGGGAGATGATAGAATCCTCCCAAAGATACTTTGGTTAGAAAAATACAAAATAAAATTCTGAAAGAGTTCAGTGTCCTGAAATACATTTTTTAAAGCCTGAAGCAAGTTTCAGTATTATTTGAAAGGGTAGCTTTTTTGTGTCAGTAACTTGCATGTGGGAGATTGATTTCTGGTTTTGTATCAATACTATTCCAATTTCTTTCTCAGAAAAAATCACCAGTTGTACTTGGATGAAGTTCTGTCAGGGAAACTGTTTATTCCCCTCAGAGTATTTAAGATTACTGAAGCCTCCAGACCAAGTAACCCATAAACCATTATATCCCACTAAGTGAGAATTTTCTATTCTGTTGTGAAGTTGTGGCTGTCACTTTGCATTAAGCAACTCTTCCTCTTCTGTGGCCATTTTCCACAGTTAAATTTGTTCTCATGTTCCTACTCTTTCTCAAGAGTTATCCTTATTTTTAGATTAAGCACATGATGGTAGATCATGCCTGCTGCTGAAATACCTTATTTTGCCTCTGAAATAACTTTTTCTGAAGGCCAAAAAGGAAAGAACAATCATTTTGTTAAGGGTGCAGGTTACCCATGTGCTGGGTTTTTTTCCGATTACAATATAGAAATCTTCTTTCTCAGTAATTCATTAGCTTGGGTGTTAATGAGGACAGGCACCTCTGAAGGCCACAGAAGGGATCATCCTATTCATTGTTTTTATTTGATTAATTTGTTTAGGTAACTGTCTTAAGGCTCCCTTTCAGTTTACTTGGTGGCCAAAGGTGTTCAAAGCAAGGGGAAAAAAGTTGCCAACTGCTCAGAAAGTAGTTAATCACTCTCAGCCACATTCTGCAATACAGAAGCATATCCTGATGTTGTTTATTGAATAGTTCCATTGTGTGCTTTTTCCATCATTTTATAGAATCCTATTATTTGTGTTGAGTGGGTTTTTTCCTGCACAGAAGTTTCAAATTTCATTATTAAAACTTAATTGTATTTACTGCAGAGAGTAAAGAAAAGGCCCTTCTAGAAACAACCGTATAGAAATATTCACTGCCTAAAAAATTATTGTTTAATAATTGATTTTTTTTCAGTAAAAGAGTAACTTTGGTTTTTATGGATTTTTCTTTTTTCTTGCTCTGTTAAAGATGTGAAGATCAAAATTTTGGTGAATGCTGTAGGACATTTCACTGTGTCACTTAGAAATGTCTGGGTTTATGACTATATAAAGCTTTATAGACTGTTTCATTCCAGTATCCAATTTAGATGATAAAGAATGCAGTACAGTATATAAATAACTTTATAGAAAAACAGAGTTAAATTTAAGTAGTGAAAGCAGTTTTTTATTACCATGGACAGATTTTTAGAATTGACAGATTTTTAGAAGCCTTATCAAATGATTGAATTAAATCCTTTTTTATTGACTTTCCTGAAAACCATCCTGGGAGACATTGCTGTCCTGTGTCAATAGTACTGATAAAGGAGTTGGAAAGAATTGTGAAGAGGTTAATAATTTTGGAGGTCTTTTACTTCAATTATTATTTGTTTTGCAAAGTCTAGTGGGCTTCAAGGCTGTGCTTAGTGGGGGAGAGTTTTACCCATGATGTTTCACCTCTATCAGTGTACCAAAGGAGTTCTGCTCGGATGGAAGCCAGGAGCTGCTGCTCTCTGAAGGAGATCAGAGCAATCATTCTGCAGTGGGGTGGAGTGCTTTGGTCACCTCTGCAGGGCCCTGCCTGGACTGACTCTGAATGCAGATGTCCCTCAATTTACAAGTGAGATTTTCACCCAGCAGGAGAACAATATCAGCTTTTGTGTGACTGGGGCCTCTCTGCTGGCTTTGTCTGCATCTGTCTGTCCCAAGGCAGAGATAGTTCTCTAGGCTGATGTCTCTTGGCTGTTAATTTTAAAAGTTTGTTACATTATTTTCATAGATGGAATCGTTGAGGTAAGTGTTGTTATTTCTGTGATAGAAATGTTACAAGCTTTGAAGAAAGTTTATTTTACTTTTTACTGGCTTAACACATTACACACGTATGGTTTTAACTAAATGAGGTTAAATAAATTTTGCTCTGGACATTTATATCATATCAATGTGTGCAGCCACTTATTTCTTTTTCAAGTTTAATTTATATTCACAGTGCATATATTTATGGCATGCTGATTTCTCAAGAGAATCTCACTTCTGTGTCTGTTATCCTTTGCTGCTCATGGCAGTGTTTCACAGGAACCTGCATCTGTGCACACTTCAGAGTTTCCTTAGGATTTCTTTTGAACTTTGTCATCCAAACAGATTTGCTCCTGAAGTCCAGACTTTTAAGGAAACATATTTTCTCTTTTGCTAAAATGAAATGTTGTTGGAACCTCAGTTTAGCTTCTTACATGGTTGGCTAAAGCTTTCTGCTGGGTTTATTTTGGTTTGTTCTGTTTATCCTCCCAGTCTGGATGTTGGCACAGTAAATTTCAATGTCTTTTGTAAAAGTTGCAGTTATTCAGCAGTGTCCAGGCATGGCTGATACTATAGTTCTCTGCTTG